AAACAAACAAACAGAAAACCAAATTCTATTCTGACCAAGACAGTCTTCACATTCCCCTCAGCTTCACTAAACATTTTTTCCCCCCAAGACAGGGTTTCACCATGTTGGTCAGGCTGGTCTTGAACTCCCGGCCTCAGGTGATCTGCTCGCCTTGGCCTCCAAAGTGCTTGGATTACAGGCGTGAGCCACCGTGCCCGGCCCATGTTTGATTTTTTTGAGGCTTTTTACCCATGAGGGAGCCATCCCAAGTTGATGATATTTGCAAGGTGGCGAGCCCCCTGCTACTAGGGCTTTCCAGATAGAAACTGGACTAGTGTCCTGTGGGCAAGTCCGTAGCCATATTGTGCCTGCAACTGATCAGAACCTCACCTGCAAGAGCAGCCCTGCCAGGAAGCTTCTCATGGAAAACTGAGCTCCAGCCTCCTCGGAACCTGCCCTAGAGGTACCAGGTGCCTTCCTGTCTCATAGGTGCCAGTGTGGGGAGAAATGGGCAGGCAAGGCTCTGGCTGCTGCCCTGCCTTCAGGGGCCCCTTCAGCCTCTCAGCTCAGGGCCACTCTTGCCCTTCAGCCCAGTGGCCACGGGGACAGAGGATGAGCAACTTCTGGACACGTTGCTGGTGCCCAGACTGTGGGGTGGCAGCTAGGGGCCTGCTCCAGTGAGAAAAGGTAGCATCATGTCAGGCTGAACAGCACAGGTTCTGAAGCCAGCCTTGTCTCTTAGCTGTGTGATTGGGGCAGTTACCCTCTCTGGGTTTTGGTGTCCTCATCCTCCGGTGGGGGATGCCACCTAGCTGCATCCTTGTGAGGATTTGGTGAGGTCTATGCTTGTCAAGCCCTGGGCACCTGTGGTGCCAGCACACACTGGGCACTCAGATTACCTGATTATATCATCATATCTCATTCCTGCCTGAGATGCCAGCCCACCTGTACCAGCTGCTACACCTGCCTAGGGACCTACTTTGCCCTGCTGGGTCGAGCAAGGACACCCCAGAGTGAGGGCAGCAGGGGTTCTGTAGCTTTAGGCCCAGGACTGTTGTGGTCCTGCCAGCCAGTAGGCAGGCCAAGACTGTCCCAAGGTGAGCCTGGCCATGTCTGTCCTATCTTTTTCCTGTCTGCTGTGGCTGGGAGGAAGGCAGCTAGCAGGGGCTGGTCACTGTGCTCCCAGCTCTGGTGACGCCTCCCATCCTGTTCACACCCTCAACCCTTGCCATCCTTCGTGCCTAGTCTCTACCTTCCCAACCACCCACTGCATTTTCCTCTGGGATCTGGCTCACTGTTGCACCCTACCTACCCCTCCCACCTCTGGAGCTGAGCCATTCAAGTTCTTATTTATTTATTATTTATTAATTATTATTATTATTATTATTTTTCTGAGATGGAGTCTCACTCTGTAGCCCAGGCTGGAGTGCAGTGGTGCGATCTCGGCTCATTGCAACCTCTGCCTCCTGGGTCCCAGTTCAAGCAGTTCTCCTACCTCAGCCTCCCAAGTAGCTGGGATTACAGGCACAAGCCACGATGCCCCAGCTAATTTTTGTATCTTTTTACTAGAGGCGAGGTTTCAACGTGTTGGCCGGTCTGGTCCCCTGACCTCATGATCAGCCTGTCTCAGCCCCCTAAAGTACTGGGATTATAGGCATTAGCCACCGTGCCCGGCCGTTTATTTATTTATTTATTTTATTTATTTATTTTTTTTTGAGACAGAGTTTCACTCTTGTTACCCAGGCTGGAGTGCAATGGCGCAATCTCAGCTCACCGCAACCTCCGCCTCCTGGGTTCAGGC